AAAAAAATTATTTTTGTTGTTTGCCTAATTTGCGTTGATTTCTAGAATTGCTCATATCGTCGCTTTTATCGCCGTAAAACTCAAAAAAATCGAAAAATGAGATATTTGGGTCATTTTGTGTAAAAAAAATCACCCTTTTAGAGAAAAAAAGTATTATCTTCATAGTTCAATAAAATTAATTTAGAGAGCAGATAAATCGTTATCGCATTGGCGTGATTAGCATTAGATAGAAATTGCTCTCCTGAAAAATTTGCTTTTTTGAGTTACCACGGTTTAGTTTCAAAGCGACGATATGAGAAATTCTACAAATAAACGCCAATTTTTATACTAAAATATAATCTTATACTATGAAATCTCTATAAATACATTTTAGAAAAACATTATAATAATATTATATTTATGTAAAAATCGTTTTATTTGAATAAACGGCTCAGATTTATCTGACTATGTCAGAAAGAGTATGTCACATTTAAAGTATGTCACAAAGAAAAAATTTCATGTTCACGATTTTTTCTCGCCTTTTTAGAGTGTAAGGAAGAAAAAAATTCATGTAGAAATAGTGTGCCCCCCAAATTTTTTTTAATTTTTTTTTGGCCGCCTAACTGGCGTTTATTTGTAGAATTGCTCATATATATATGATGTTTTGACTTTTTTTTTCATAATTTCATAGCAGATGGCGCCACTGGTACTATTTTGTTTTGTTACTTTTTTCTTCCCTTTTTCAGTTTCAGTTTCGATTTTATTCGCTATGTTGGTAGATGAGTAATATTTTATGTTTGGCAATATGGCCATTGAAATTTCAATTACTCAATTATAATTCAATGAAAAATGTTTCAATGTTATAAATCATGCTCTGATAATCAATCAGAGAAATAAAAGTAAATGTCCGGTAAGATTTTAGAAACTTCTTTGTTGTGCTAAATTGTCATTTTTTCATTTTCCCACATTGTATTAGTTTATATAAATGTAATGATATTCTACTTAATTTTTATGATTTTTCCATTAGATAACTTTATGATTTATTTAAGGTTCATTCCATTTTTTGGTCCTTCGAGACTGGAGCGAAAAAACTGAGCTATTGTTTATAATTGTCGCTTTGATTTCAATTAAGAGAGCTAGATAAAAGTATTTTAGATTGCTCCAGTTAATATTGTTTTTTGATCTTATTTTCGGTCCGTCGATAAATCTTGATTCTATTTTGTAATTATAATGGAAACTTTAAAAAAAAGACGTAGTATTTTGAAAGGTAAAGTAACACGTATAAACAATATTCTGAAACCGAAATTTCTGTCTGGGGAAATAGAAAGAGCGAATAAAATGTATTTTTTTCCGGCTCAAATGAATGAAATATAGGTGGAGGTTAATGAGATTCATACGGAAATTATAATTTCTTGCAAGAATGAGGAAGAGGCAATCAATATGAAAGAATTTGATGATTTGGCATCTAATATTGATACGTTGCGAATTAATATTGCGCGGGAAATGTCGGAATTGAAATCAAAAGTAAACAGTACTAATAATGGCGGCTTTTCTCCAGATAAATCGAAACTGAAACTAACTTGATTTTTGTCTAAAATTGCCCAAATTCGAGTTACCGAGTTTTTATGGAGATTTCAATAATTGGATGTCATTTAAAGAATTATTTCTGAGTTCCATAGATAAAAATCCAGAATTAAAAGAACTTCATAAATTTCAATATTTGTTTGCTAGTTTAAAGGGTACTGCACACAAGCTTATTTCCGGATTTTCGCTCACAGATGAAAATTATAAGCAAGCATGGCAGACTCTAGTTGCGAGATATGATAATAAACGTGAATTAACGTTCGCGCTAATTTCAAAACTATTTCATCTAAAGGCAATTAAATCTAATTCTGCGGCTTCGATATTTGAAATTTCAGAAGCGAGTAATGAAGTTATTCGAATTCTTTCAACTTTAAAGTTAGAAGTTAATCCGATGGTAGATGTTATTTTAATATATTTTATTTTGGGAAAACTAGATGATACACAAAAGCAAAGATGGGAATTATCTTTTACTAATCAATATATTCCAAAATTTTTAGAATTGGATAAATTTCTTGAGCAACAAGCGAAAAGTATTCCAAATCAAACAGAATGCAAGCCAAGGGTTCTTCCTAAAAAGGCTTTTGTAAATGATGTGGTATTAAACAAAACAGAAAATTTATGCAATATTTGCAATGAAATTCATTCGATTGTTAATTGTCCCAATGATAATAAGATGTCTGTTGATGACAGGTGGAGAGTAGTTAAATCTAAAAAGCTGTGTATAAATTGTTAAAGAAAATTCCATGTGGCAAATAAATGCCGTTTTACTAACACCTGTAAGGCATGTCAAAGAAAACATCATACTTCATTGCATAGATTTTATTCTAATTCTGAAGAACCTAATGTAAGCAATACAGTTTGCTATTCTAACTCAAATATAGATAATGCCAATTCTGAAAATGTTCCTACAATGAGGGTAAGTATTCAATTTAGCACAACTTGTTTAAATTCTAATTGTGTAGATAGTAATACTCTTTTGTCAACCGCTTTGATAAAGGTAAAAAATGTAGAGGGTAATTTAATTACATGCAGAGCATTGATTGATAATGGCTCCCAGAAATGCATCATAAGTAAAAGGTGTGCAACTTTATTGCAATTAACAGAGACTGTCTCAAATAAAACAATATCTGCTATAAATAATACAATGATTGAGACAAATCTTAATTTAAATTATTTTAGAATTCAAGCCTCATTTTAATGAAAACGAAGAATTTAATTGAACTGCACTAGTTTTAACACAAATCACGAGTGATTTGACAAATTTTAAATTTGACTCTAGTTATTGGCCACACCTTCAAGGATTTAAACTTGCCGATCCTACATTTTTTATTGCAAGCCCAGTTGACATTTTATTGCATATATGTATGTCATTTCATGCATATATGCAGTAAATACATGCATATATGTATTACATTTCATTGCAGATATGTATGCCGAAATGCTATTAGGTCAACTTATTTCTGGAAAAAAGGGTACACCAGTTGCCATAAATTCTCATTTGGGTTGATTAGTGTCAGGAAGAACTTTTTCTGCCGCTAAACACGAAAAGGATGTTGTGAACTGCCACATAGTTGCTACTTTAGAAAGTCAATTGAAAGCTTTTTTGGAACTTGAATCTATTCCCCAAACTGAGTTGAGAACCAAAGATGATGCTGATTGCGAAAGTTTTTATGATAGCACAATCACTCGGATTTCAGGTCGTTACACTGTAAGATTGCCATTTAAGTCTAATAATAATTTTTGCAATTCTACCTCACAAGCTCTTACGAGATTTAACTACCTTGAAACTAAATTAAGTAAAAACAATTCTCTTAAGGAGCAACACTCGAAATTTATGCTAGAGTACCTTCAGTTAGGACAAATGGAACTTGTTCCCCCTGATGAAAGAAATGATGAAGAGAAATCATTTTACCACCCCCATCATTTTGTCATAAAGGAAGATAGTTCGACTACTAAACTAAGAGTAGTCTTTGATGCTTCCGCTAAAGACTCTAATGGAAATTCTCTTAATAGTACACTGTTTTTAGGCCCTCGTTTGCAGCTAGAGCTTTCTTCAATTTTATTGAAATTTAGATATTTCAAGATGGCAATCAGCAGGGACATTGAGAAAATGTATCGCCAAATTCGAATGAAGATTGCGATTTTCAGAGAATTGTTTGGAGATATAACCCTGATAGCGATTTACAGGTTTACAGATTGCTTGCAGTGACTTATGGTACAGCATGTGCTCCCTTTCTTGCGGTACGAACTTTAAAGCAGTTAGCCAACGATGAAGAAGTTAGTCTTCCGGAGGCTTCAAAGGTATTAAAGGATGAATTTTACGTTGACGATCTACTCTCAGGTGCCGATTCTATTACAGAAGCTAAACAACTTGTGACTGATCTCAATGCACTTCTAGAGAGGATTTAACTTAAGGAAATGGGCTTCCAATTGTCCAGAAGTTCTTAACAATATTCCTGACCATGCTCTTGCGATTCGAGACATTTCAATGAGGGAAAACCAGTCTCATAAGATTTTAGGACTGTTTTTGAATTTTAAGGAAGATACATTTCGAGTTAAGATTTCACAGCCAGGTGAAATTCTATCAAAAAGAAATCTCCTCTCAGTCATCGCAAAGATTTATGATCCCCTAGGCTTCTTGTCTCCAACCACTATTGTCTTAAAAGTAATGCTACAAATTCTTTGGAAAAATAAGTTGCCTTGGAATGAACCTATTCCTAAAGAAGTAGATAAGACATGGAAAACATTTTATTCGGAAATGGAGCAATTTAGAGACGTAAAAATCAAACTAAGATTAATGCCAGCTGACACTCCAGCTAAATGTATTCAACTCCATGGCTTTTGTGATGTTTCTATTAAAGCATATTCAGCAGTCTTTTATATTCGTTCTGTGCATGACAACG